GTTGGAGCAACCCTTCGAACAGAAAAGAGAGGAGGCTCACCATAAACCAAGGTCTGGCAACCCAACGTTATCGTATGGTACAGAACACTGAGCCCGTCGTGTGCTATGTCTGTCATGTTGGATAGATGTGATTGAGAAGGGGGAAGACTCCGTTGACTCCCTTATATATAGAGAACAGCTTATCCGCATTAAAAGAAATGTCACCAAGGGAAGGGTTTCGCCCAGATAGGCCTTGAAACGTATTTATTAAAGTACCGGTGCTCCATACTTTACTACGGCCAAAAAGATAATGACGCGAAGATTTCCGGTGCATTGCGGCTTCCTGTAGAATGATAACAACGTGAGATAAAATTCAACACTCTTCGATGGATCGGCGGCCAACTGCTCGTGAAAATTTCTATCATGATGAATTGCCATGGTCCCCGATGGTTGAGGGCGCACATGAGTCAGATATATCAGAAGGGGCGACATCTAGCAATGATCGCAACAGTAAGAGTCTGTTTCGAGTGGTTATACAATCTTCACATCGCGGTAAGAAACAAGTAAGAAACACAGGACGATGACACTGGCCGCACGGCTTCACCTTGCCGAGCGTGCGTGTGACCACTGACATCATGGTCGCGATCTAGCCATATGATCAACTTCAACGAGAGCTTCCATCTCACTGCTTTTAGCATGGCGTATCTCTGCTCTACACTTCACATTGAACTCGCAGAACGGAAAAATGTTACCGTTCAAATTTGTATCTGTGCTCGGGCCAGCTTGAAGAAATCGTGGCCAACTCGCATCCAACTCGAAGATGCCAGGAAACCTCAGGCTCACCAACTGGTACGTCAAAGTCAACTACGTTGTCCACCGTTTACGGCTAAAATATTACTGGTTCTTCTAGATTAAATATGGACACATTACATGTAAAGATGTGTTCAACATCGTTACTACATTTCTGCTCCTGCGTTTGTCTTTAAAGCTTCATCGCGTTTCCTCCTAACAATTGCTGAAAATAGCGCTACATGTAATCTGGAGAATTCTGACTGCGCCCTATCCCAACAAATCATGGAGGATGGTGGTCACTCTCGTTGTGGCTCGTTACTTAATGGATCACCTCCGTTATCCTGAACTTCAGTATTTATCTGGGCGAGCCGTTGACGTCTACGCAAGATGGGTGTTTCTCAGAGGGCTACCGTATACCATTGATAAACTCCTAGAGACTGGGGTCCATCTCTTATGGGTCGGTCCAAAGCGACTTGACAAAGTCCTCTTGTACATACCTGGTAGGTGCTTTCAGTTGAAGATAACGACACTTTCTTTGAGATGCTGCATTCTAGGTGGTGGATACGTTCTCCCACCGTTCGATAGTTTCTTTTCTTTCTGGAGATACGTTCAACTAGAACTCGCGGTGCGAAACATCCAGGCTGGCGTGGCCGTTCTTTCCTACAGTAAGCCCCATTGTGTTCCATATCCCTTCTCGCTGATCTGGGGAAAAGGTCTCATACCAAACGCCAGATTCCCCAGTCAGCTTCACGAGGCTCAATCCGCGATCGAATACCTCATGCAATCCGGCGTCAAGCCTGAAAACGTCGAGCTCGTGGGCAATTCCGCGGGCTGCAACCTCATTCTTCAAATATTCTCCCATATTCTTCACCCACTCCCGACGTTGAAGCCTTTCGAGGACATCCGCTTCCATGGTGCATGTCTTATTTCCCCGTGGGTTTCCCCCAGTGGAGAGATCGGTGCAGAGACTTTTAGGCGAAATAGTAAAGCCGACGTCATAAGTTCAGACGACCTATTCTTGTGGGCGGAATCTAGCCTTCGAGACTTACCCAATTTCGCTCTGTCATTCATTGAACCTGCCAAAGCTCCCGAAGCCTGGTTCTCCGGCATTGACAAGTTGGTCGACCGCATTTTGATCACCTCTGGCAGTGCAGAATGCATGCATGAAGCGCATAATTATTTTCATGAGCGACATTTAAAGGACTATCATTCGAATGTCCGGTATGTCGTACAGAAAGACGGCGTGCACGATGAGGTGTTACACGAGTTCGCATTGTACAATAGACCTGTGGGCGAATTTGCGCTGTTGATAGCAAATTGGACTGCCACAGGATTTCAGTGGGTTAGTGTCACCCTACTCCTCATGTTGTAGTGTGGAAAATAAAAATTGAATCAAACCTACTTTCAGATCCGAAATATTTGCTGGTGGCTACGAGTTGGAAGTACTTGATTTCTGTCTTATTTTTACTGGAACAACTACTTGCAGAACCCCTCAAGGAGAACAGCATTGCCGGCCAGTGTCCTTATATCCTGTGCAATGTAAAGAAAAGACTTCAAGTTATCTAACTTTCGCCGAATGTTTGTCTTACTGTGACTAGCTGCGAATTGTAGGGAAACAACATTCATAACTCAGTGTATTCTACAGATCTACATATGCCTAGAGCTTGTACACGATGTGGTTCTAAGGATTTTCGACGAAGACCAGCGTTTCTGGTGCATCTCTCCCCGCAGCCCGATTATCCAGTTGTACGGTAGTTGACTGCCTTCTCGTCTCCTTCGACCAATGGGCCATCCATGTCTGGTCACCCCATCCATACCATCCATCTGTCCGAATGTCTTAAACGGAATATGAGCTAGTGGCTAAATGTGTGAAGATTGAATTACCATGAATGCCATCGTAAACCAACGACGAACGATCGTGCTTCGCAATTATGTGGATGATCTCCTGTCTGGTTTCCTTGTGGCCGACACCCTGGGCGTAGTAGTGTCGGGGCACAAGTGCCCTGACAATGAGCTCTGGCTAAAACCACACCATGTGGTCGTCCAGGTGTGCCTGCATGTCGCAAACCATAGTGCTTGTATCTCCGAATAATGCAACCGCAAGGCGGCAATGGCACATGTCGTTGAATCTGGCATGGTGATTAGCGCAGGCGACGTACTGGTGTGCGGGACCTACATTTCTTCGGGCACGGCCCTTTCCACCACTTGCAGCGCATCGGAGCAAGCATCAAGACACCGATTAATGAGACCGAGATCAGCACCGTGGCTTGTCAAGAACCACCCAATTTCGGGTAGCCAATTGACTAACTCGAAGATGAGAGCTCGAGCACTAGAATCTAACTCCCGCTCTATTTGAGGAGTGCTGGCCCATTTGTCGCAAAGAGCAGAAATATGCGAGATGATACTGTTCAACGAGGGCTTGTGCAACTCATAGTCGAGTCTACGGCTGATGGCATGGCGCATGATGGATGGCGCATTTGGAAGGGGGTGGTGTTGAGGTTCTGGGGCATATATTGCTTGATCCAGACATTTTATACCGTGTACGTTGGTGGCAGAGAAATAGGCAGACCAAGGAAAGCGTGACTGAGACCATCGAGGAAACGGCGACTCGTACCACTGTAATCGGACGATTCAAAAACTGCTGCCACAGCAGATCAAAGCAAAAGAATAATGGCATGCGTGCGCCATTTCACCTGGGTCCGTAATGCTTGTCTATATGAATATGAAAGACAATAGAATGATGATAAGTTTCTGCAGATCAAGATAGACTTTGAAGATCCACGATCATTGCAACCAAACAAGTGACAGCCTACCAGGGTTGCCTTGCCTGTAGAGCCTTTGTTGTGAAGAATACTTTTGTTTTTCTGCTAGATACTGTTTAAGAAGGACGAAAAGAGCATTGACTGGAAAAGTTGTCATGGTGGAGGAATGCGCATGATCGCGTCTGTGGCGTGAGAAGATAAAAAACCTTTGTTCCTGTCGGCATTACAAGCCTCACGTCTCAGTTCTACAATCCGTCACCGTAGTGCTTACTCGTACCGCTCCCGCCTTGCACCTTTTCCTCGTCTTCTCCCATCCATCGACACTGTATAGTCCAAGTTGAGAACCTCATGTGGGCCATAATATCGCCCAAGTTGTTAAAGCTATCGAAGTCAACCCAGTGGAGAAAATATTGACAAGAAGGACCATCTACTCGTCCACTTATTTACGACGACGCTGCTGCTGAGTATTGTATGTATACTAAAGGCCCTACGTCGACAACGGATGAACATGGTTCACCACAATCATCTGCTGAAATTGTCGCCGGTCTCGGTGCATTCAATCTCTTGTGGAAATTTCGATTAGAAAACCTGCCTGCTGCTGCCACAGAAGACAGATTGAGGAAAATTGCCGTTATTAATAGGCCAGAGTCGCTGCACTGCGAGACGAGCGCGTATGTTTGGTTTTTGGAAGTGAACCAGGTATAATGTGCGTGTCTACCCTGACACTGTGCTTGATCTTATACCTTATTAAGCTGCAATCAGCGGTTACTGCCTTACTTTTGGGGACTCGTCAGACGGTTTGCCTCGTCTTGGATCGACACCAGTTGAAACAGATAATCGAGTATTACGAGATTTTCCGGCTGTTTGGAAGTTTGCTCACCATCAGGCCTTGAGTCAGGTATGCTGTTCGTCTACTGCTTCCTGATAAAATTCTTAATGAAGGTTAAAATATAAAAAAGAGATGGAGTCTTTGATCATGTATGTCATCTTCAAGGATATTTGGTCTGTCATGAAATGTATTCTTGGATTGGCGAAGCCTGATAGAGTGAGGGCCTTGATGTAGCGCATCTGGACCTGTCTCAAGTTCAGAACCCTGTTGCGATGGCGTTGATTAGATAGACTGGCACCATCGCCTATTGGGAGCGTTGCATGCAAAAATGTCGCAGTACTTTTCCCGTGGTTTCGAAATGGCAAGCCTTGGTTTGTAATAATACCATGTCTACCTCCAGCTGCCGGTCACTGTCTCTGTCTTATTGGTTTTAGACGAGCTGAACATCATTTTCACTGCCGTCTGTTGCTCTCCTCGGCGACGCACCGAGATTTGTGCCTAAACCAGGTCAACAGATAACAACCGTCTCTACATGACCCTTTGCCCGGACTCACTGCGTATATATTTCGCTCCGGTAAGTAATTCGAGAGAAAAATTTCAGGCGTGCTATATAAACGGATAGGCGGCATTACAGGTATGCCCCCTTTGTCTAATGGTTATGACGTCAGACTTCTACCTTGTGTGGGAGTCATATCTACTCTTAAGGTGATAATCTGGAGGTTGCGGGTTCGAGTCCCGCAGGGGGTTCTTTTTCTGCCTGGGCGGATTGGAACTTGGAAGTTAGAACTCAGCAGCACTTGGCCGGAGTAGTCGACGACTATGCCGACATTCTGATTGGGCCGTTCTGCTCGTCGGCAAAATCGGCACACAATCTGACGAATGTAGTGCCGCGACTATCTACCTCCATCACCTGGTCCCGATGGAACGTATTTGAAGGCTTATAAGCCCTGTGATCACCGACAGGCTCTTAGGTTGACATTGCATTCTTTCTGACTCATCCATAGGCTGATCAGTATACTGTATTCGTCATGGAGACACTACTGGACATGCCAACTAGCTCCGGTGGTATGTGTCTGAAATACATTATGGAAGTGACGACACAGCTCGAAAGGAACTCTCAGAAGTCATGCAATATGAAGGAAGAAACGAGTCAACGGTCATTACGGTTGCAGGTCCTGACCAGCATCTATCATAGCCTGTGACCAATGTCCGTCCCAAAATTCGTCGAGGTCCTGCCCTGAAACAGGGCTATGAGTATAGATAGCGGGAGCCAGATAAATGCATATACGACTTACCAGGATTACGAATACAAGTTGCAACGGATTGCCCGTAACCGTACTCACCAATACGATTATTAATCAGGACCGTAATACCGGTGGCACCATTGTGAGCAACTGAAGATACAATGAGATCCCTCCATATCCAAGCGATATGGCTCTCTATGTGTTCATCGACGTTATAGATGTCGCAAACAACCGTTTCTACTCTGAGATGACATGTCAAGTCGGAGAATCTGATTGACGAATCAGTAACAGCACGAGCAAAGGATAAAGTACCGACTTATTTCGCGACAAGACACCAGGCCTTTCTAATGAACGTAACACTTGCGTGAACAACGAAAGGCAGTCATAAACCAGCTTGATATCGGGACTTTCATGTACGAGGCACCGCCAGACGCAAGCCAGCCATCTGGTCACTTCGGCGGATGCTTTTTCCCAGCTGTAAATACCATCCATGAAACCCCGAAGATAGCTGACACCAGAATAAGTCGACGCAATGTGCGTATTGTATTCAAAGCTCTCCAAGTCAGCGGGTGGGTTTGGAACCTTTTCCCTCGCAGCGGCGAGGAGCCTGTTGTGCACCGCTACCGAGTCCATCAGGGCATTCATCGTATCAGCACGGTCCTCATCGGATGGGCCTTTGGCAGCAGATAGGGCGGCGGCGGAGTCTTGGCTGACACGTTCCGCGGACGCGACAAGATACCAGAGAGAAGTAGAGTTGTTTGAAGGGAAAGTTCGGGCCGGCATGGTGTCAAGTGCGAGATTGAAAATAGAGGAGCTGTAGCATCGTTTATAAATGAAGTTATTGTCGAGAAGAAGGAGTGGCTAGTGGCGCCTTGTGTCAAAGGGAAGGCCACAAGGGAACAAGACAAGGAAACAATAAAATCGTTGGAAAAGGGGGATACCTAGACAACAGTTAACATTTGGAGACAAAATAAAGGCTGAAACGCACTGCTGCCTTGTCCAGGTCCGGCTCTATGGTCACCTGTAGCCATCGAGCCATCGAGTGAGCGACTTCATCCGTTGGGAAGGAAATCCCTTGTCCCATAAATCCCGGTTGATCAGGTGGTGTTTCCACGGTGCATTCCTCTTTCGTCGCAGCATAGCGAGCTCATATGCAAGATACGGAGGAAGAGGCGGCCGTTGCGCGGCTTTCACTCGAGCCTTCCAAGCAAAGATGCGGCAGCACCAACACATCCTGGGGAAATGGCGGATCCTTTCATCAGCGCCCACTGATAAAGTGTATCGAAAAGGAGACTAAGACCACCTGATATCAGAAACCGTCAAAATTTCTCCAGGGGAATTGCAAGTAGCGCGCTCGATCATTGCGCTCCCGCACTTTCCCGTAGCTCCCGGAATGTCATCCGTATCCATCGAGCACTTCGTACTAGGCTACTAGCAGCATCTTGATTTCTGAAGTTTGTACTATATTTTGTTCCATAGAACTAACTTTGAGATGGAGACCCATTGAGGGCTAGCTAAAACGTTGGGCGCCACATAACGAGATATTAGCAACCACATTCAGAAACTGAGAAGGTGCGTGGTAAACCTTAAAATAAAGGACCAGGGTGAACGAGGATGACTGTCTGGGCTCTCGTGTGACCGATCTGTAAGGGACAGGACAACAGGATAGACGCCGGGCAGCTCGAGATACGAGCATAGAGTGGAATAGAAAGTTCGTATAAGCAGGACAAGGCAGGGGATGGCAGGGCAGCGTGAGCGTGTAAGTATATGCTTCCAGCGGCAAGAATATGCCAGCAACAGAGTCGCACGGCGAACGGTACATGTACATAAAGTTTTGTCAACTCCTCGCCAGACGGCAATCAAACAAGAGAAAACAGGTACCTTGTAACATCGTGTATCCTGAAGGCACGGACCCTGTTCCTGATGAATCATGAACATGACTGTGCCGAGCATTCCTCCGAAAGGCAGAAACATTCGAAGTGTATGTCGAAGTCCTAAAGCTCGAATTGAGTCGTAGCAAGGAAATAGATATCGGTACTCCATAAGGATCTGTAAATGTTGCATTAGCTCTTTGAGAGAGCTGGATCCGCGCAGGGGCCCCAAGGACATTCTGAAAGTCGATAAACGTGTCTCCATTGAGTTGAGATTTTCCCTGCAAATAACTACGGCTGAAGACCCTGCCAAGACTCACCAAAGACGTACTGAGTCCTTGCTATATTACCAAGGCGCCGAAACATATTCATAAATGGGAGACCAAGGTGGGTTCGGTCGATGCGAAGGTGAAGGGTTTTGTTGACGCCTAGATCATAAGCGGTGGGAAGTGCTGGACAGGCGGGTGGACGATTGATTCCTCCTTCAATTGTGTGACGCCAAATTGTTCAGCCAAGGGGCCCGAAACTGTCAAAAATCTTTGCGCGGTCGCCGACATCTGGAAGGTTACTAGCAGAGCCTGAGAATATACGCGATCAGGTCGCATAGAATTGCTTTGGGGATATCTCGCTGCTTGAATCGAGCAAGAGTTACCGGATCGACGTCGGACTCGGTAGCGGCATTACGACACCAGTGACCGGAGGTGGATACGCGCATCCGCGATATTTCGGATGACGACAGTGCGCAGCAGTGGACAGGTTTCTTTCCTTCGTGTACCAGCGAGGATATATGTGTGCTTCGCTTAGAAAGTTGAATGACAGACGAGCACCTCCGAATTGAGACCTTGAGGCGAGACAAAGAGTGGTAGAAACCCAACTCAATGAATGAGATCAGGCAGACAGTCGCTCCGAGAAAAAATACCCACATGTCATACGCTTCTGTATCATATATCCAGAAAACGGGGAAGTACGCAAGACCCTTCTTCATTTATCCTTTAACAATACACTGTGTACGGTTGAACTCCGTTACATTTTCCACTTTGACAGAGATGAAATGTTTTGGATCTTGAGGCACCGAGTCACCAGGATATTAGGTGGCACGGAATCTCTTCAAGTGTTAGAGCCGTACCTGGTCGGCTATTATGCCTCTCACAGTATAGATTGACCATATCTTGAGAAACAAGGCACCAGCATAGTGCGGTCTGTTCGAGGTTCTGTGTTCTCCCTCGAGCTTGCCTGCAAAAAAACATCAATAGCACCAAGATCAAGCCTAAACTGTTGAGGGATGTTGTCGACGTGAACGACGCGTCGGAAAGAAAGTTGTCCATTTGGCGCGAATGATATATCGAGAGAGGACGCTGCGGCGACGACAGGACGCGTCCCAGCCCGAGCATGACGGGGTATGAATGAAAAAAAGTTAGCTCGGCAGGGCGGACCGGTAGTGACGCCGGCAAAAGTTTACTTGGACAGGTATTGTTGCGCTTTGGCATTACAATGGCATCGGCGTCCACAATAATGGTTACTGGTTACCCACCCGGCTATATAAGGACTGCGGCTTCACGAAGGGGACCCACAGTTTTCTGCCATGCAGGTCATCGACACGACCGCCGTTTCTGCCGTCGTATCGTTCCTTACCGACGTCCTCGACCCACTTTGCTCGTCTCGGGTTGTCGATAAGCTACGATGCGTGCTTAAAAAATCTCTGCAGCGAGTACGGTCTCTTTCGCTGTCGCCATATAGGCCACCTCCACGACCACTTCACGATGCCTGCATGACCACCGGCCTACCCTGGCCCTACTGGATCCTTTTGCTCGGGAACCAGGATATCCACATAACCATCACGCCTCTTTATGTGCAGGCCCAGATTTCCGCTAACACAGTCGCTCTCTGGAGTGCCGATGCTGACCTGCATTCATCGAACGTCTGTTTCATTGCGGGGAAACAGTCCAGTGTTCACTCACCCACTCGTATTCTCATGCCTATTCAGGTACCCGCTCCTCCCGACCTCGCCCCAGTTGATAGCGATTCGGATTCGGATACAGAATCCACGTCATCTTATTTTTCTGACGTATCGCTGTCCTCTGTGACAAGTGTATCATCTGGAGCCTCGCAGTCGACGCCTTACCTGCGCCGCCCCAAACGACTTCATATCCGGGAGTTTTGTTACGGAAGGCGTCAGGCTCGTTGCACCATTCACCGCCAAAAAAGCTCGGCTAGGAGAATAATCGGGGTTTAAAGGACTTTGGACATCTTTATTCTTACTTGGAAGGACTCAGGACTTAGGACTTACTCTTTTAGACTCGGACTTCTTCAGGACTTCTTCATATTTATTTAACTTCATGACCTTTTGTAGCCATATTCCTCTCCCAGAACACTACTCGATTTATAACGTTTGTATCTACATAATTCTTCGTTCGGGACCTTACGTATCTTACGTTTCATTTATAGGCGTTCAATGCGCGCTGACACTTCATCTTTCTTGGATTTCAATTCACAGAGATAGCACAAGGAGAGATTTTCTTCTTCGGACATAGAAACGTGCAGATCATCGTACTCGACAATCAATTCTATCCCATTTCCATTCGGACGATCCGTAGATACGTTGCACGAAGAAGTGATCAGATATCAACGTGAG